GGTGCAGACTTGTACGCATTATGTGCGCGGCGCTAAGGCAAGAACCACATTGTGAAGATCACGTCCACCATCCTTGAAGCTGGTCCAAACGTTTGAAACGGATGTGCGCGGCGGGATCGCCAGAACCACATCTTGAAAAGGATCCTCCCTCCATCCTTCAAGCTGTTGCGAACTTCTGAAACGAATATGAGCGGCGCAGAGGCGAGAACCACATATTGAAAATGACCCGCCCTCCATCCTTGAAATTGTTGCATAGTTCAAACTTCAAGATCAGAAGCGGTGAGGACGTCTCTAGCGAAACGCCCGGCCCGCCCTACCGCCACGACTGGGGGTGCGACAAGGAAGGGGGGGTTGTATACGGAAAAATGATTGGGAAAGAAAAGAGGAAGGAAACAACCGGGAAGGATGAGCCCACGTACCGAGAAGGGGTGAATCGTGCAACCACCTTACTGGCTACTCGATTGGCAAACTAAGAGGGCTGATTGCCTCGCCTGAAATGAAATGACACATGTGAGATGGTCAGGGGGGAGGAGAAGGAGGAGGAGGAGGAGAAGGAGGAGGTGGGCGAGGAGGAGGAGGACGAGGAGGATGAGGGAGGAGGAGAATGGGACAAGAGGGAAACAACGAGGGGGAGGAGGAGGAGGAGGAGGAGGAGGGACTTGAGAGTAATAAGCAGGGATGAGACGGCGGCCGTAGAGAGGAATGTTGTTGTTATTGTTGTTGATGATGAGGACGAGGCAAGGGGATGAGATGATGCTGATGATGCTGCTGGTGATGATGCTGATGCTGATGCTGATGATGATGATAATGATGATGATGATGATGATGATGATGATCGGCCGTAGCTGAAACGGGCCGGTTCGTTGCACAGTCTGCCGCGTAGTTGTCAGTTGCATGCAAGGCTGAGGCAACGGCGGGTCGCTGTTGGTCACGCGTCAGCTGGTCCCCATGGGTCACCGCAGCTTTCGCCCATGGTATGTATGGAAATCGAGCACGGCCAGTCGCAACGCGCCAGCACGCGAGAACGGGCAGCTCGCACACTTGTAATCGTCGTCGGCTCCGATGCCGAGAAGGGTGAGCGGATTGGAGGGGAGGCCACAGAGGGGGCGCAGCACGGGACAGGCGAGGTAGTGATAAATAGAATCTGACTTCGTGCAGCGAGAGGCAGTCTACCACCCCGCAGACATGGACACGATGGCTCGTCGTCCATCCGCCAGCAAAGGTCTTAAGGATTGGCCACTGCCAAACGGGCTCGAACTTCTTCATGGTCGTACGACGCCCCTCGCCCCGCTTGCCCACCGTCCCGACCACTGAATCAAAGAGCCCCCCAGCGTGGAGGCGTTTGGTGAAAGTGATGTCGAACTTGTTAGCATGCAGGTTGACGCGCAAAAAGGTGGCGAATGCCCTCTGCAGCTTGGGCTTCTTGCTAACTCCGTTTGCTGCTGCCGCCTCCATTATGCCCGCGCCTGGGCAGCTCCCCGTGTTCGGATTGGGATGCCGCGCCTTGCGGACGCCTGTGCGAGGCATGCAAAACGCTGTGCTATGCCCTGCTTCTTCTGTACCCAGCTAGGGAGCGCTCCACTCTCTTCGGATCCAGGCGACAACTGGGAGCGTTTGCGCCGCCGTTTCTTGCCTCTGGTCGAGCTCAGCACGCCTGTCGGTGATGGTGAGACTGGAGCAGCGCCGCGTGCTTGCCGCCCCCAGTGGGATCGCTTATGAGGCAGAGCCGAACTCGTGGCCAGAAAATGAAAAACGTCTGCCTCGCGAAATGTACCACGAGGAAGCCTAAAGGCCTTTTGATTGGCAGACTTCTCTCTCAGCAGGAAAGTTCTGTCGGTGAAAATGAGTTGAGCTAAGTAGCTCAGCGTGGACCGGGGAACGCTGATGTAGAGGAGAAGGCCAACGCTGGTGGGGGCGTCAGCGTTTGGAATATCGATGGATCCCGAACAACACTTGGCGACCGCATCTTTCCAGTTTAAAACCTCCGAGGCCCCCGGGCCAAATTGGGCCCCAATGTACTTTGCAGAAGCCGCGATCATGACATCTTGCCAGGCAGGGATATGAGACATACGAAAGCGCTGAATTCGCGTTGTAGCTGCGTCAGAAAGCTCTGTCCACAGGGGTGCCATGACGGTTCTGGCCGTCTGCAGCCTGAGTTTTGCTGGCTCTTCGACAACTCGAATCACAGGAGGGGTTCTAGTGTGGTCCTGCAATGTGGGTTGAGCAAGGCCTGTGTCATCCGCGCGCCCCCCAACCTCACCCGGAAACTCACGAAGAGTTGTGTCGGCCGACTTCCCTACCAGACGCCTCGGACTGGGGTCCATTGCCAGGGCCCAAACCGAGCCTGACAGCGGGCGGCCCTGCGCTGCCCCCGACTGGAGGTAGAACGTGAATTACAGCGAACCCCGAAGCGCTACAAAACTCCGAGGGGCGACATGTAACGAGGCAATGACATGCAAGTCGCCTCGAGGGAGGCCCGATCGAGCTGAAGCTGGCCAGGGTCAGTCATGACCCAAGCTTGGGAACGCAGCTGATCCATCGAATGCCACAGACACTGGCGCGTGCTCATCGGCATCCGGTTGGACGCAGACATTCGGCGCGAGGCGCTGTCTAATCGAAGTATGGCCCCGGCGAAATTGCGGCCGGGGGCGCAACCTTGCCGGGCCGCGTGGGTCTGGGACTCGACCGGGGCCGCGCGGGTCCGAGGCTCGACCGGGACTTGCTGGTTCACGGCTGCGCTTAAATCCTCAGATTCAGATTCAGAAGTGCGGAGCGACAGCGACATAATCTGATGTGGCTTCCCAGAGCACTCGTGTGCGCCAAGGGCCTCGTCGCCCCTCGGGGGGAAGGCAAAAGGGGAGTCGTTGAGGCCCTCTGGAACGTGGGCGCCTGGGAACGGGGGAAGGATGAGGCCATGGAAGACCGGGGCCGGGCATCTGAGAACATCGAAGCCTTGCATGGGAGCCTGTCGGGGCCAAGGGGCGCATACCTAACGCGCATCAGGGTGGCGTTGAGGCCCCCGCATGCTGGGGGTCGTTAGCAGGGTCTCTGGGGCTGCCGGGCGCGCCTGGCCCAGGCGCGCCTCGATGGAGGTCTTGTCGAAAAGGGGCGTGCCGGGAGACCTTGCCCCGGAAGTCGGTCAGGGCCTGGTGGATCTCACTGGGGTCTCTCTTGATGGGGGCCCCGAAGCCTCGGGGTCGTGTTCTGCGCGAAAGCCTGCCAGGGCCATCCTGCGACCATTGCGCTTCCAAAGGTAAGCCCACTTCTAAAGGCATGCCCGCCTGTGGGCGGGGTGGGTCTGGCGAGAGCGACTTTCGGCCGCGGCGAGATCTCTCCTCGTTGCGCTGCCTCCGCTGCTCTCGCCGCCCCCGTCCGCGGCGCCTCGAGCTCGGCCGCGCGCGAGGGGCGGGCGGCAGGCGGCTGGCGTCGCGCTGGAGGAAGGTCGCGCGGGGGCCATCGGGCTTCAGGAACTTCTCGTCGTCCTCTGTGTCCGCCGCGAGCGGCGCCGCCTGGCGTGCATCCTGCGCATTGTAATGTTGCGACCCCCGTGTCGCCTTATTGTCATCGGAGCGGCGTGGCAGCCCTTGAAGTCCATCCCTGGTTTGTCGCGCCGCCTCGATCATGAGTGTCTTCATGTGTCCCCATCCATTGGCCGGTGCAAATATGTCAAGACCCCTGGCCGACGCGAGTCCGTCGAGCATGGTCTTGCACCTCTCGTCTGTGAAGGCAATCTCTTGGGCGCCTGCGATTTATCCGTTGTGTCGGCCGTTGTGCAGAGCGAGACATGGGCGATGGTGGCCGCTCAGCCGAAGACTGATTCATCTCCGTGTGATGAGCTGCCGCAGAGTGATCCATGTCGGTGTTGATCAAATAGTGCTAAGGCGTGCTGAGAAATATCCGATCTACGGTCGATGCCGTGTATTGTTGCCTGCTGAAGTGCGTTGTAACATCCGAGCTGGTCTCCTGGAACCAGATCAAATAGCTGTCACTAAAATACTTCCAGCGGTTGGCGCGTGCGCTGCGTGTGACGAAACACTTGCTCGGGGAGGGATTGATCGCATAATGGCGGGACGTCATTTCATATGCTGAAACCACCCATTATAATGGAAGTTCTTTCCAACGGGATAAGATTGTTCCATGTTGCCCAATGCTGCCACTTGTTGCTGATGGTGCGCTTGTCGTTGTTCGTGATGATGTAGTTGTGGGCGTTCACGGGGACTGTGCGTCGCATCTGGGATGAGTGCGCGACGTGCGTCGTTGCCACCCTCCCAAGTACGAGCTGCTCAAATGAGATTAGGGGCGTTGGTTTGCCGTGTAGTCTTCAGGCCGTGGCGCGGAAAAAGGCGACCCCCCTGCTCGCGCTTCGTCTGCCTGCGAGTGGTCGACCTGTGTAGTGGTGCGGTGATGGCGCGATGAGCACCTCGAGCTGCTGGCGATCAGCATTGACTCCCTACGCCAACATGGTGGCTGCTGTCCTCATGATTCGGCCCGCTCCGTGCAGTCTGCCGCTGCGCTTCCTGCTCTTGTAGGAGCGGAGGCCCACGGCATTCGAGGGGCGCCGTGTCCGCCGCCGGGCGAAGGCAAGCGGGGCCACAGGCTCGGGCGAATGTGAGACCGACCGCCGAGATGTGTTGGTGGCCAGAAAGGGCCGCTGACGCACATCATTCATCGACTGCTTTGTCGATGCACCTCTGCTGTGACAAGCAAGGGCCCCAGCGGAATTGAGTGGGCGCCTCGGCATTAGCTCCGACGTAAAGAACCGCCACAGGTACTGCTCTGCACGCAGTGGTGACCTCATTGCCAGTTTTGCGGAAATCATATTGTCCACGTCTGCCAGAAAGCACGCGACCCAGTCTTTTTGCTTGAAACACTCGTGGTAATGTCTTCGGCATTTGTCTGCGTGGAGGTAGAGTGGCGTGATGGCGCCCGATGTGTTGAGCGCAGAGAAAGTGCGCTATTGCTCTCCACTTTTGAAATTGCGAGCCGTTATGATGCTCCGTGATGACGCAGCTGGCCCTCCAAACGCACTGAAGAAGAAACGTCTCGCTGGGGCGTTTCCGATGAGTCTCACGTCGTTGGTGGAGACCTCCGCTGCGTTGAGCTTGGGCTCGAGCGCCTTCTTGACTTCTGACGGCTGGATGGCGGAGGGGGGCCCGGTGGCGTAGAGATGTGGGTCTGGGGGTCGGTCCCAGGCCGCGAGCGCCGCCATGTCAAGCTGGGGGCGTGGCCCAGCCATGGCCAGGGCCGCCTGCGTGCGATCAAAGTCTGCGCGCATCTGCTGCTGTTCCTGCTCGACGACGTAGGTGCGCTGAAAATTTCCCTTGATGCTGGTGTCGATGCCGTCGATGCGTGTCCCTTGCTGTCTGACCATACCCAATTCGAGCTGAAGCTCTCCGTGTAGAGCGGATTGAGCACCTTGAGTGACGGCCGCTGGTTCTGCCTGAAGACGTGTGGATGCCAGTTCTGTTGGCGCCGTGAAGAGATCTGAGAGTCGTTTCTCGAGTGTGCGTTGATCAGCCGATGTGGCTGTACTTTAGCGCGTTGGTCCAGTTGCTGCCACTGGTGTAGCTGGTGTTGCGCCTGCACCTGCCATTGGGGTATCTGAAAGAGCAACCATTGCCACTTCCACCCGCCGAAAGTGCTCCAATTGTGCTTCTGTGCGCGGTACTTGTGCCCCCGTCCACGGGCCAGCCCACGGATCCTCTCGCATGAGGGCGTCCTCGCCTGTGGCGGCGGAGGCGGGCCATCCAGCTGGCCCTGCAGCGGAACGTGATGGGGCAGAACGTGACGCGGCTCCCGCTCCACTGCGTGCTGCACGACGGGTCGGTGTAGGTTCAGGGCGGGCTTGACGTTCGGGTTCTGGGGGGGGCACGATCACGAGCATCTTGGCAATATTCCGTGCGAAGGCGTTCGCGATCGTCAGGTTATGCGCGCGCTGCTCGATGCCTGACGGCACGATCGCTCTTCGAATTGCCGGTGTCGTTGCGTTCTGGACGATCCTGACCACCTTCGGCTCGAGATTTCCGCCGTCTGGGCGGCATGGTAGAAGAGGGGGATGAGCTGCGGCCGCTGCTGGACGCCATGTTGAAAAACTGCGGAGTCGTAGACGCTGCTGTTGAGGAGCGAGGTGGGCTGGCTGCCCACGAAGAAGGATTGTGGCGCGACGATGCTAGGTACCAGTGCGCACGAGAGCAATTGCGCGATAGTGAAAACCACCTTCTGCCAAACCGCTGAGCGTGCCTCGGGCTGATCAGGTCCTGTATGCGGATGTGCCTGGGGCGGAGTGAGACTTGGATCTGGAAGTGCCTGGGCCGGACCAGGGCTTGGGACTTGGATATGGAAGGCCTGGACGCGCACCGCTGCAGCAGGCTGGCTGTTGGAAGCCTACCCCGCTTAGGAAATGACTTAATTGCCACCTTGGCCTTGAACCACAATTGCTACATAATGATGATGCAGGTGCAGGTGCAGGTGCAGGTGCTGATGCTGATGATGATGGTGATGGTGATGGTGATGGTGATGATGATGATGATGATGATGATGATGATGATGATGATGATGATGATGATGATGATTATGATGCGGATGATGATACTGACGCTGATGATGATGATGATGATGATGATGACGACTATGATGGCGATGCTCATGCTGATTCTGACGATGATGACGAGGATGCTGATGATGATGCTGATAATGAAGCTGATTATGATGATGAGGGGGACGAGGATGAAGGTGTTGCTGATGAAGAGGCGGAGGAAGAGGAGGAACGCCATGAGAAGGCGGAGGGGTGAGGAGGAGGAGGGGGAGGAGGAGGAGGAGGAGGAGGAGGAGGAGGAGGAGGAGGAGGAGGATGAGGGACATGAGGAGGAGGGACACATGAGAGGGGAACGGAGGATGAGGAGAAGTGAACAGAGGAGGAGGAAGAGGAGATGCACGAGGAGCTTGGCCACCCCACTTCTCACTAGAGGAGGATAAGGAGGAATTTGCAAGTATAGAGCGAGAGAAGGAACGAGGAGGATAAGGAGGATGAAGAGACGGGAGAGAGGGTCCTCAACGCCCACAGGCTCTCGACACAATCTTTAACATGACCTTCGTGGACTTTCTCTGGCGTTCTTTCATTCGCGCAATGGACTGTTTTCTGTGGGTCGCAACTCGGAAAGCCCAAGATGGGCCCTCAGAGGACGTTCCGCTTCCAACGCCCGCGCTGGCGTCGCTGCCGCGACCAGGCGGCACGAACCTGCCGTTGAAGAAGGAGGGGGAAGATGAGCAGCAGCACGCAGCAGGAGCAGGATGGAGGATGAGGGGCAACGATAGAGTCGAAACGCTGTCGCCAGGAACCCTAGAGGAGGAACGGGGGTCCTTTTGCCCATAAGTTGAGCTTGGGAACACCTGAGACAAACTGAAAACAACTGATAAGCACTGAGCCCCCTCCTCACGAGAAGGGTTCCTCCTCCAGCGGCCCGACTGCAGGGGGGATCCGCTCGGGGGTGGGAGAGGCATCGGCCTGGAATCGACGATGCCTCGCCAACGGATCGCCAACGGATAGCGAAACCGCATGTTCCCGGGCGGGGGGGGGGCCACCGTGCCCCCGTCGACGGCCGAGCGGCGTTCTGGGGGTCGATGCGCCCACCCCCTTTGCGCCGGCTTCTCCTTGACGTTGCCCCTCATGTCGAGCAGGGGATCGACTGCAGAATGGATTTGCCCAGCATGCTTTTTTGGTCAGCAGGATCTCCGAGCAGTGCGCAGAATGGTTTGCGACTCTGCGAACATTCTACGTATCTGTCGTAGGGTCGAGGGGAAACCAAGCGTGGGGTAAATCGACCATGTAGTCGGGCCCCTACCCGACTGCTGTTAGGAGAGGGGGCGATGGCTCCTCCCCGACTCGATGCGCCCCTGCCCTAGGAGCTCCACGCGCACCGCCTGGACATCGTCCGCGTCGTGCATGCGGCTCTTGCCGCACGACCTCAGCACCTTAGGCGCGCCCAGGCTGCGCGTGCAGCGTCGCCGCCTAATTCCAATGCTCGCACACAGCAGGCACACACGATAAGTGTCGCTAGCGGTGGGCACGCGCGGTAAGCAGGCACACGCGATACGAAGCCTCGCCCTTGAGCTGCGCAAGGCGCCCCGAGGGCCCCGGTGCCCATCGGGGAACGAGAAGATATAGCGGGGCGCATGCCGGCAGGCTGGTTCCCTATCCGACTCGCCTGCTGTATCCCTTACGACGCGATTCGTGCCTGGCGAGTTGTTACACCATCGCTGCCTCTCGGCGACTCCGAATGGTGTGGTTTGCAAAGGGTGTGACTTGCAACTGGCACCCTGGAGGGCACCCTGGGGGGCAGGCGAGGACCTCGACAGAGCTCTCCACCGCGCCCCGAGGAGGTCCGACGAGGACGGTGTCGTGCTCCCCAGGTTCCAAAAGTGCTCGATCGCAAGCTGCACCCCGGCGCCACCATCATACTCTTTGTAGTCGCCGAGCCTCGGGGGCAGTCGCTGGGTATGGGGGCAATCGAGGAACGACCCTCGGGCGGGTGGTGATGGGGGGTGACCTGGAGGGGGGGCTTGAAGAAAAGGGCCCCAAAGGGCGGGTCCCTTCAGGGCCCTCTTCCCCACCCCCCATTTACAGCCGAAATCTATAGGAAGGGCAGGCGGCGAGGACGCAGGGGCCGTGGACGCCGAAGTTGGCACTTCTCGGGCGGCGGACTGCCAGCACCCTGAGGGGCTGGCCCGTGCGAGCCGCGAAGGGCGGGCCGCACAAGCAAGGACGTAGGGGCACCAAGAGGACATCCGTGCGTCCGTACTGTGGTTGTTGACTGTGCAGTCAGCCCGCATCATAAGGATGCGCGGTAAGAACGCAAGGGGCAAGGCTGCAAGGGGTACCCTGGGGAAGGCTGCCAATCCTTACCATGCGGTCTGACTGTATAAGAAAACGTCCATGGACGAACGCCGGGGGCGTGTGATACGGTGGGCGTTCACGAGGGGGGGAGTCGCAAGTCATGGCCCGAAGCCCGTGCGCGGCCCACGGCAAGACCAGTGGACGGACGCATGGAAGTGAGAGGAGGGGGCCAGACGATCGCGTGAGACCTCATGGCCCCGGCCATGTCATCCCCCGCGAGCCATCACCCCCCTCCTCGGCGCCCCCGAGAACGACCACCGCTGCGGACCCCGTCTGGGCCTGGCTGAGACTGTCGGTGGTTCGAAGGTGGGGTCCGGAGGGGTGGGGTCTTGAGGTTGGGAAGGGACCAACAGGGGTGGGCTTCCATTCTTTGAGGCACCTCGCCCTCAAGACCCGGGGCCCGTGGAGGGCCCCGGGAGCCCGAGAACGGCAGAGAACCTCGGGCCCCGATTCCGTCAGGACCCGTCTCCCCCACGGCGATTCCCTCAGACCCCCCCACCTTCGAGGAGGAGAAGGAGGAGAAGGAGGAGAAGGAGGAGGAGGAGGAGGAGGAGGAGGAGGATATGGAGGGGGAGGAGAAGGAGGACGTAAGGAGGTGAGGAGGAGGAGGAGGAGGAGGAGGAGGAGGGGAGGAGAGGAGGGAGGAGGCCGCGGTCTCAGCAGATCGGGCCCGTCGGCAGAGCGCGCGGCGCGAGGCGCGAGGCTCCTGCCCCCGTTGGGCTCGAGGCCCTGTGGCGCGGGGCCCCGCGGCGCGAGACGCAACTGCGCCTGGTGCGTCTCGGGGGGGCCCTGTACTCTCCAAGGCCCGCCCCCCTCGCCCTGCCCCCCTGTCCTCCTCCTCCTCCTCCTCCTCCTCCTCCTCCTCCTCCTCGGTGTGCTGGAGCTCCTGCGTAGCCAACTGGAGCGGGTGGTTGTCCGGCTCAAGTCCTGAATTGCGGAAGAAGTTGAGGTGTTCCTGAGCGAGAGTGACAGGATCGTAGGCACGCCAGCTGGCGGCAGCGGGCCCACCACCTCCGCCACTCACGCCGGTGGCGGGGGGGCCCAAGGCGGACGGCCCCCTCCTCTCCGTCCAGCTGGGATGGGTGGCGGCTTGAGCGGCGGCCCCAACGCCCTTTGCCTTGCTGTGGCCCAAAGAGCCCCGCTGGAACGGGGCCCCGCGCTCCCCGCGTGAAAGTGAACGCCGATAAGCCCAGGTCCATCCTGGACACCGCGTGCACTGAAAGTGGGTGCACTGGCCCGCCATGGCTGCGAGGAGTGGTGAAGATGCTTCGCCGACAGCGCGGCCGAGCCCGGGAAAACGAAGGGGGGCGCGCGGCGCGTGCGCCTGTTGCTACCCGAGCGAGGATGGGACATTACGGATGGGTTTAGCCCCGCCCTTCAGCCATAATGGTTACGGAAGACATGGAGGAGGAGGGGGAAAAGGAGGAA